AAAACGTCGATTTACGGCAAAAAATCTGTTCACACACACACATACATACATACTTTTTCCAAATTTGGTTTCATTCGATTCAGAATGGCTTAAAACGTCGAGAAAACATAAAATTAGCGAATCGAATTTTTTGATGAAAACATTTAAATTTGAACAGAATGAAGGAACTTATCTCATATTTTTAGGAATTATATATAGTACATATATAAAGAGATTTAGAATTTTAGCTTGAATTAAAATCAAATTCCGAATCATTTTTGATATTTAAAAAAAATGAAAACTAGTGATGTATGGCATCGTGCCTTAAGGTAAATTGCTAGAACTTCCCGTACCTTAACAAAATGATCGAGGAATATTTAATGTTTTCAAATAGATTATTAAAAATACTGTAACATTGTATAATATTTATAAAAATTATATAAATTAATTATTTAATTCCTATCTACAGTTAGGAATTCATATTGGATTATGTGACTATCTCTTAAGAGATATTTTTATTCCTTACTATATCTTTCTAAATGTCATTCTATCCCTTTCTCTCACTATTCTCTATATCTTTCTTAATCTCTCACTATATGTCTTTATTTTTTATTCAGTCTCTATCTCTCATAATATCTAACATTAATTTTCTATGTTTATTATACTCTATCTCTCTTTATCCCTTACTACCTCTTTCCCGCCCTATCTCTCTCATCTCTCAACATATCTCTCTATTTTTTTTTCTATCCCTCACTATCTTTATCGCACTCTATTTTATCTATCTCGCTGTCTCTTATTTTTCTCTTTGGTTTTATCTGTATTTCTCGCTCGCTCTATCTCATTTTCTTACTTTCACACTCAACTAAAGTCACTTTTCTATAAAATTAAAACTTTCTGTTGATTTATAAGTATGCCAAAGCATCAGAACCATAGATAAATAAGCATAAATGATCAGAACTTTAATCAGGATTAAAATTAAAATCTGGATTATTTTGGATATACAAAAAAAAATGTGAAAAAAAATTAAAATAACAAAAAATCCCCAAAACAATTGGATTGCCAACACAAGCAGAATGTTTTTTGGATCATTCAAATCGGAAACTACGACGTTCTCTCAAAAACTCGATTCCTATTTTCTGCACTCTTTGCTTAGTACCTCCGTAACGGCTGGATCTGTCTTTGCCCAAAACTAATCAGCACATCTCTCTATCGATAGGAATCGAATGTTATGTAAACCATTCAAATCGGTTGATCCGTGCGCCCGAAAACATGTACGAACAATTGCAGACTGCAGACTGCTCCCAATTGCAGAATTGGGATATGCCAAAATGTTCAGAACCTCTAAAACGTGAAGATATTCAAAAATTTTTATTTTCAATTTTTGGACCATTACCATAATTTACTCTACGGGAAGTTAATTTTTTTTCATTAAAATTTTGGGAAATTTTTTTTTGCTTTTCTAAACTAATCGTTTCTTCACTTCTTCACAAGCAGAATGTTTTTTGAATGATTCGGATGCTTAGTTTTCTCAAAAACTGCAATATTTGCACATTTAGCTCGGTATCTCCGAAACGCCTGAACCTACCTTTACCAACAACTAATCACTACTCCTCCATATCATTACGAATTGAATATTTTTTGGATCATTCAAATCGAATGCTCCGTTCTCTCAAAAACTCGATTTCTATTTTCTGCACTTTTTTCTTTTTATCTCCTTAACGGCTGGCCCGACTTTTGCTAAAAACTAATCAGCACACCAAAAACTAATCAGCAACGTCTCACTATCAATAAGAATCGACTGCTTTTTGAATATACACACATACATACAACCATTTTTTCTAAGGTATGCCAACATGTTCAGAAACTTCTAAAACTTGAAGACATGCAAAATTTACTACGGGAAGTTAAAATGAAATATTTATAATAAAGCAGATGGAGTGTTAAAACATATAAATAAATGAATAAATATAAATATTGTAAGCGTTGAATCCTTTGTAAATAACATGACTGTTTGTATAAAAATAAGACACAGTAACTTAAGTTAGCACATGGTAATTGATATGAAATTAATTAATTAATTTCTCGGCGGCATCCGAGTGGAATGGATTAAATACACAATAACAAAAAAGTAAACACAATTATTCATATTTCAAATCAACATGAAAATGATGATAAAAGTACATTGAAATGAATTTCATTGTGGTATAGGAGTAGGTTCTAGTTCTGTCGTCTGCCTCGTATATTACCAATAGAACAACTAGTGGGGTGTATGGCATCGTGCCTTAAGGCAAATTGCTGGAACTTCCCGTACCGTAACGAAATGTTCGAGGAATATTAAATGTTTTCAAATAGATTATTATAAATATTGTAACATTGTCTAATATTTATAAGAATTATATAAACTGAATTGCAAAGTTGAAATTATTTGTTTAAAGTATATTAGAACTTTAGTCCGAATTAAAAATAAAATCTGAATTATTTTCGATATACAAAAAAAATCTGATATAGTTTTTTTTCCAAAATCAATTATTTTGTTAAAACAAGCAGAAAGTTTTTTGAATAATTTAAATCGTACGCTTAGTTCTCTCAAAAACTGCCATTTTTTGCACATTTAGCTCTGTATTTTTGTAATGGCTGGGCCTGCCTTTGCCAAAAACTAATAACCACTTCTCCCAATCATTACTAATTGAATGTTTAGAGATCGTTCAAATCAGATGCTCCGTTCTCTCAAAAACTCGATTTCTATTTTCTGCACTCTTTGCTCTTTATCTCCGTAACTGCTAGACCTGCCCTTGCCAAAAACTAATCAGCATATCTCCCTATCAATAGGAATCGAATGTTTTTTGAACCATTCAAATCGGTTGATCCGTGCGCCCGAAAATGTGAACGAAAAAATGCGGACACACAAAACACACGCACATCCATTTTTTCTGAGGTATGTCAAAATGTTCAGAAACCTTCAAAACGTCGAGAAATGCAAAAATTTTCAATTTCGATTTTTGGACGATTACAATAACTTACCCTATGGGAAGTTAATGATGTGACCACTGGTAGATCCATTGTCCCAATTGGTAAAATGTTTCCAACTCCTATTTTAACCTGGTGCCTTGGGTCGAGCAGTACATGTTAATTTGAATTACTGGTATGTATTGTCTCTGTCTCTTCGATCCATGAGAACTTCAATTTAGGTATTAGCTGAAAGATGATTGTTCTAGCACACTGGTTGAATAAAAAGTCCAACTTGAGTAATTTTACAGTTTATTCTTCTTTCTTGTTACAAATTTACAGACAGACAGAATCTCTGCTTATTCTATCACAGGACTAGTCTGAGGTAACATCTTGTTACTTTGATGTTACTCTCTCTGACTCTCTAACTTGTTTGGACAATCTATACTGTACTCAACACAATAAAGCGTGAGTTTTGCTATTTGAATGAAATATTCAACTGTTTTTTTCCAAACTAAAGGTTTTCCTTTCATTAAAAATAAATTAATACAAATTTCTGTTTCCAATATATACAACCAGTTTTTTCTAACGGTAGAAACAAATATGTCAAAACCTTTGAAAAGTAAATGGTATGATATAAAATCACAAATTTTTATATCGATTTTTGGATGATAACTATAACCTACTCTAGAAAAAGTTAATAAGAAGACTAATAATAACAAATATTAATCAAGCTCTTTTATTATAACAAGTTTTCATTTTTATGTTATTCATATACATATATACATAATTAAATAAAAAACAATTTGATTTAATAATGACCCTGTATATTCTTGTAATAACTTCTGGCAGTAAACAATATT